TGGGTTCTGGGAACTGAGTTCAGGTCCTGTGCCAGACCAGCGAGCACTCTTAGTGACTTAGCCAGTGCTCCAGCCCCTTGCCTACTCTTGATAACCTTGTGAAAGAGGTGTTTTTAATTCCACTTTGCTGTGAAACACAAGGTTCACAGAGGTGTACGAATGTGCCTGAGGGTGGTCAGCAGGCGGTGTGTCTGTTGCCTCCTGAGTGACGACAGTCTGATATCCAGTATGTGCCAGCTTCCATGGAAACCACTGGCTTTGACTCTTCCGATGCAGAGCTGTGGCCCTGATTCCTTACCTAAGCTCACTGAGCCTCCATCGTCTCTAAAGTGAGGGTGGTAACATCTACTTTCTTGCTCTATTTCCAGGATCAGTGGTGCTCTGGGAATCATGTAGTAGAAGGCCTGAGGCAGAGCAGCCCAGGGCTGATGGGCAGGAAGTTTCCTCAGTTAAGCTTTGCTTGGCAAGACTGTCCGTGATGACATGCTTTCCACCTTGAATTCATTCATTTATCTACACTACTAACATTTATTAAGTTATTGCTATGAACCAGGCGTTGTGTTTGGCCTTTTGTATTCCCTTGTGAGTGTGCACATGTGTGTGTGTGAAAGCATGTATAGATGCATGTTTGTGTGTGGGTACATGTGGAGGCCAGAGACCAGCCCCAGGTTTCATTCAGTAGGTGTTGTCCACCTTGGTTTTTTGAGTCGGGGTCTTGTTGGCCTGAAGATCACTGAGTAGGTGAGGCTGGATGGCCAGGAGCCCCAGGGATCCACAGGTCCCTGCTTTCCCATCACTGGGATTACGAGGCCACTGTGCCTGCCCCCTCCTTTTTTTTTTTTTTTAAATGAATTCTGAGGGTTTGAACTAGGATTCTCAGGACTGTACAGAAAGTATTTTACCAAACAGGCCATCTCCCCAGGACTTTCTATAGACTCTGCAGGCAGCTAGCTGACCTGTCTTTCCTGTTATCTAAACGGCTGGGGGCTTACAGGAGTATCAGCTCCATCTTATCTCATGATGGAGGGAAGGTGTACCATCGGGGAGTCAGGGGCTGTAGAGACGGTGCGGGGGTGGGATGGGGAGTCCAGTTGTGTGTGGGGCCTTCCTCTGAAATGTCTTCTTGCTGGTCTGTAAGCCAGTCTCCGTGGGATCCAGGAGCCCTGAGTGGGTGGGCGGGCCTGGGATGCCTCCACACAGGGTGTGATGGGTCTGGCTGGGCATCAGTCTCCCTGGTGACAGGGTGGGGCGGGGGAGGTGACTTGGGACCCGAGTTAGTCGGCGTCCCATCGCTGTGGCAAAACGCTTGAGGAGACCGGCTTGAAGGACAGGTTGGTTTTTGGCTCACGGTTTCTGAGGCCCGTGGCCGCCGGCTTTGTTGTTTCTGAGCCTGTGAGGAGGGGAGCATCATGGCAGGATGTACAGGGTGGGGCAAAGCTGCTTCTCCCATGGCGGACGGGGAAGAGAAGACACCGTGAGAAAGGAGCTGAGGTCCCAACATCCCTTTCAAGATCATGTCCTCAATGGTCTGCTGCCTGCGCCCGACTCCTTAAAGCGTCCCCTCCCCCGCAGAGCCCCCCCCCCCCCCCCCCCCCCCCCCCCCCCCCCCCCGTCTCCAGCTCCCCCACTCCCGGACCTTCTCATGCAACTTTCAAGGAATCGTCTCTTCACCTCATCAGCCTCTTTCTCATCCCTGTCCCCAAACAGCACAGTCGGCACTGGATGTCTCCCTCAGTCGCTCGCCAGGTCATCTTCTGACAGGGTCTCTCGCTGAATGGGACTCTGTTCGTCTAGACAGTTGACCAGCCAGCCCTGGGCCTCCTTCTCTCTCGGCCTCCCCAGCTCTGGGAGGGCAGGTGTGTGCTGCCATGCCCAGGGGTTTTCATGTGGGTTTGGTTTGGTTTTGTCCTGCCCTGCCCTCCTGCCTGAGCTGTTTGCTGTTCTCGTTGGGACGGTAGTTCCCCAGGAAACGAGGTGAGCGGGGCGCCTGGCCCTGGCTCTGTGGTCTGTGAGAGGCACAGGGGTGGTTTGCCCCTGAGGCTGACTCGCTCCGGAGCCAATGATAACTTGGTTTCCTTTCTCCTTGAAACCTGAGTTCCTTCTGTCCTGAAGCTTCATACCCGCAGTCGCCACCACAGCACAGAACCTGTCACCACAGCTTTTCTGTTTGTTTGCTTTGAGACAGGGTTTCTCTGTGTAGTTTTGGAGCCTGTCCTAGATCTCGCTCTGTAGACCAAGCTGGCCTCGAACTCACAGAGATCTGCCTGCCTCTGCCTCCCGAGTGCTGGGATTAAAGACGTGCACCACCACCGCCGCCCGGCTACCACAGCTTTATGGAAAGGAGCAGACAATGTTTATTGGAGGGAAACTGAGGCTGAGAGTGAAGGAATCAGCTGCCTGGGGCGCAGTGTGGAACATGGAGGGATGAGAATAAAATCCGGGTTATTAGAACCTGCTCGCTCATTGAGCTCTTCAGGTTGAGGTTGGATTATCCAACAGGTAGAGAGGGAGGAAGGCCTTCATTTCCAGAACAGTGTCGTGTGCAAATGGGACCTCAGTGAATTCTACCTAGTGGACAGGGCCTGAATGGCCTCGGAGCTAAATCCAGAGTTCTGTCTGTGTGTGCTGGAGTTCCTCATTCTGACTTTTGTCTGAGGGACGGGGATCTTTGAATGCCCACCACATCCTGGGCCTGAGTGATCTTTCGGGGTTGGGGTTGGGGTGCCGCTCCTGGCTGTCACATGGGACACGACTGCTTGTCCATTAGCCACTGTGGCCACCTCCTCTTGGGCAGGTGCCTGGGAGACCCTGCTCTGTGCATCTTTGGGGACTCAGGGGGTTGAAGGTTCAGACTTGCCTGGGCCTTTTGGTGGGGTTCTTGATAGATGTACCATGGGAAGCTAGGTGATGGCCAACTGTTTCCTTCCTGTGAGTCCCCAGGGACATGAAGGAATGGGGCTGACTCAGCCTGTGGATATTCTGACTTCCAGGAGGTAGCCCGTGAGGATAGTCCTGTTCACAAGGCATTACAGTAACAGGATTATAAAAGCACACACATTCTGTGTTCTCGGGCAACTCCAAATGGCCTGTTTAGAAAGGAGCACTTTCTAAGGCATCAGTAATTACCTTGACAACCTAAGGTAAGAGAGGAGGAGCTAAGCTCTTACTATAGGATGGACCTGAACTGTAGGCCAGTGGCTTAGCCCTGTTTGAACATCAAAAATCACTTTGGAGTTACAGCGACAGACACAGCCTTATAGCCTGCTTACTAGAATAATCCAGTGTGTGTGTGTGTGTGTGTGTGTGTGTGTGTGTGTGTGTGTGTGTGTTGTGGGGGCTGTGTGGTGGTGTCTCGGTCTGTAAATTTTTTGTTGTTGTTATTGTGTTTTGTTTTACGAGACAGGTTTTTCTCTGTGTAGTTTTGGTGCCTGTCCTGAAACTCTCCCTGTAGACCAGGCTGGCCTTGAACTTACAGAGATCTGCCTGCCTCTGCCTCCCCAGTGCTGGGACTAAAGGCGTGCGCCACCACCGCCTGGCCTTTGATCTGTAATTCTAGTCAGACTATAGGTAATGGAGATCTTCTGCCATGGTTGCAAACATGAATGTGATAAATATGTCTTATTTACCTAGACTGTCCACACATAGTACATCCTCTGATGAGAGTCAACCCTTCGGGCCTCTGAGGCTCCAGACTCCAGGCCCTGGGCTTTCATTTAGGCCCAGAGTGGTCCTGGGCCTTCCAGGGAAGCTGGTGGCCTGGGTAGTATGGTGAGCCTCTTTCTCAGCTCTCTGGCTGAGGGTGGAGCATTGTCTCTGTGGAATAGAATCTTCCCCATTGCCTGGGAAGAGCCGATAGGTCTCACAGGCCTTGCTGGCTGCTGTCACCGCTATGTGGTTCAGTCTTTCTCATCCCGGTAGTCACTGAGGAAAGTTCTGGGACACAGGACCCAACTGGCTTGAGGTGCTAGGCAGGGGGACAGGGTTGGGTCAGGGCTGGGTCTGGGCAGCTGACTGGGCCTCATTCAACCTGTTGGACCAGACATTGCCAGGGATTCCCCTGGGGCTGGGGCTGGGCCTGGGGCAGGGCCTGGGGCAGGGCCTGGGGCAGGGCCTGGGGCAGGGCCTGGGGCAGGGCCTGGGGCAGGGCCTGGGGCAGGGTTGTTCCTGAGCTGAGGTTTGTTGCTCAACAAAAGGAAGCTGGCACAGTGTCCTTGCCTGTCCCCAGACGGCTCTGGAGGCAAACACTCTCAGGAGTAACACTTGAGAGGCCCAACTCTGCCACCAATCAGGTGAGGCCACGCCCAGCCTCCACCTGTCACCCCGCGTGAAGGAGGCATGCATAAACCTGCGTGGACTTGCAGAGCCCGCAGTGAGACCCCTGTCAAAGAGAAAGTGAAGTCCAGTCAGGGGCAAGATGGCTGACCCCGAAGGCTTGAGGGAGGCGGGAAAGAGGCTCAGAGTGGCCAAGCTGAGGTAAACGAAATGGTCAAGGCGGCCGAGAGCATTAGAGGTATGGCTTGTTCAATGAGCAGAGGGCGAGCAACATGGTCTTCCTGCGGGTGCACACCTAACCCGAAAAACAAGAACAAAAACCTGGAGCAGCAGTATTGAGGAGACCCTGCCAACACCCCAAACGTGAGCCGAGGAGCAGCATCTGCCACAGGCTCCCAGGTAGCTGCTGGGAAAAGGGCTTTGGAAGAAAATAGAAAGTACTAGAAAAGAGTGACAGGATTACACATCCCCTGAGGCTTGAAGGTGCCATGTGCAAGCGACAAGGGGTGACAGGTTGATTGGGCTCCGTTGAGACTCCTCATAATGAACTCCTCTCCAGGGTCACATGGCCTTGGGACTTGGGAACTGGGGCCTTTCTGAGAGAGGACAAAGGGCCCAAAAGACCGGGCATTCCCAGGCCTCCCGTTGATATTTTCATCTCAGCCAGGCTTTAGCTCTGGTGGATTGCTACAGAGGGTTTAAAAGTGTTTTCTTTCTTTTGCACACAGGCCTCTGGATGTCACAGGCCAGCACCCTTTGGACCCCTGACTACACTCAGGGCCCAGGGACATCTGCCACCTTCAGACAGCCTGGTGGGCACCTTCCCCACCCAGGGCATGGACACCCGTGATGATGTCCCTCCAGGTAGGGGAACTTGATGGGCTGGGAACATACATTCCTTGGATCGTTCAGGGGTCACGCTCTGCTGGGGAGACGCAGCCAGGGGGTGGCTGGCCACATGCTGATACCGGATGTCCTGACTTCCAGTTGCCTTGACTGTCTGCAAAGCTCCCTGGCCTGCAGGGGTTTGGAGTGCCCGGGGCCTCCAGCTGGCTTTGTGTCTGCTCTAAGACACAGTGGGCTGGTTCCTTGAAGGGTTGACTCCATCTTATGGTTGTGAGCCTGTGGGTGGCTGGGTCAGGAGACAGTCCAGGCATTCCGGTTTCTGGTGGAACTGAGCGATGTCCCCCTGCCCCAGATGAACTGGATGACTGTCAAGGGGACTTACTACTAACTTTGGATGGGCCCGGGCATAGGGGGTGTATGGTGACCTTGGGAAAGAAGGTAGCAGCGGGGCGGGGGGGGGGGGGGGGAATCTTCCTCACCTCTCTACCCACCCAACTCTATGATCTCTCTCTGTCTCTCTGTCTCTGTCTCTGTCTCTGTCTCTGTCTCTCTCTCTCTCTCTCTCAAAACCAAAACAAAGAATAAAAACAAACAGAAAAAACAAAGAAGACAAAAAAAAATCCAAACAAAACAAAATGAAACAAATTAACCCACAGCAGTAACAACTACAAACCACCAAGTTCGTTTTGTGTCGACCAACTGCTCCTGAGCATGGAGCCTGTTGTAGATCGTGGTTGACGTACTCAGTTTTACTCCATTGGAGAAAACTGATTTTCCCTTTCCAATCAGGCACCAGTTGCAAATAGCTTCCCGCTTAGGGGTGTCCTAACCTGGTCAGAGGTCCTAACACTTAACTCCGTGTCCAGTTCCCCTTCTCAGCGCCGGGATTTTGTCGGGTTTGAACCTGTCCCAGGTCTTGTGTGTGCTGACTCAGTCTCTGTGAGTTCGGATGTGTCTCAGCTCTGCTGTGTGTGGAAGGTGCTGTTTTCTTGGGGTCATCCACCACCTTCGGCTCTTACAACCCTTCTACCTCCTCTTCCATGTGGATCCCTGAGCCTTGAAAGGAGGGATTTGATGAAGACATCTCATTTAGAATTGAGTGTTCCAAAGCCACTCTCTGTACACTGTCCAGTTGTGGGTCTCTGTGTCAAATCCCATCTACTTCAAGAAGTTTCTCTGCCGGGCATTGGTGGCGCAGCCGGGCGGTGGTGGCGCACGCCTTTAATCACAGCACCTTGGAGGCAGAGCCAGGCGGATCTCTGTGAGTTCAAGGCCAGCGTGGGCTACCAAGCGAGTTCCAGGAAAGGCGCAAAGCTACACAGAGAAACCCTGTCTCGAAAAAAAAAAAAAAAAAAAAAAAAAAAAAAAAAAAGGTTCTCTGATGAGGGATCTGATCTACGGGTATAGCACCATTTCGATAGGAGTCATTTATTGCCATGTTTCTTTAGCAGAATAATAGTAGTAGGTTTGACAAAGGTTTCTTAAAGGGACAGCCCCCTAGCCACCTCCCTCTTCTTTTCCTGGCTTCCGCTCTATTCCTCCCCTACTGGGAAGCCTTCTCATCTCTGTCCCTTACAAAGGCTTACTGTGTCATAATTGCTCATTCTCCATCACCTGTCTGTCCCTGGCCTTCCAGTCTCCTTGAGGGGAGAACCTGGTCAGCCTTGCTACCCTCTGGTCAATGTGTACGGGCCAGAATCCCTGCCCGGGGCAGGCACTAGGAAATGAACGGTGCTGTTTGCTAAACCTGGGAAGCTTTCAGGGGAACACTGGAGATCAGTGCTGGAGACCTTCTAAGGGCAAGGCAGGCAAGGGATGCTCTGAACCAGGGCCTTTGCCAAGGCCAGGGCTTCCCTGGTAAGGGAGTTATCTGTAATGGGTGCCGGAGGGTGGTCCAGGGAGAGCCCTGCGAGGCACTGTGACAGAAGCCAGGGCTGTGGTCAGCGGGGATCAGTTTCACTGGCTGCTGGAGGAGAGGAACTCTGAAGGAGGCTGAGGAAAACATGTCTAAAGAACCCGACCCAAAGCCAGAGGGAGATAGAAAGCAGGCGGAGAGGGAGAAAGCAGGCATGAGGGAGGACGCAGGCAGGATTTGATGAGAGAGAGATGCTATCGAGGCCGGGGCTGGTAGGGTTTGTGGGATTTGTTTAGGATCATTGCCTGATCAGTGGACCAGGTTCTGGAGTCAGGACCGGGACCAGGATTCTTGCCCTTGGTTCTTCTAGCAGAGACCCCAAGTGGGAGAGTGATAGTGGGTATGGATACTCCTATTCTTCTTTTATACCCTAGTTTGGGCCCCAGAGGACTCTAAGGTACTGTTATCCTGTGATTCTGTTCCTAGCCAAAGTCCTGGCTCCTGTGGCTGTGTACTGTGGGAGTGTTCCTCGGACTAGTGCTGGGCTCCGCGTGCCCCCACCTGGAAGCATCGACGCGAGTCTTCTCCCTTATGGTGAAGGTGAGAACCTGGCCTGGTGACTTGGTCATACCAAATGGTCCTGGTGGCCTCTCTGGGGTCTTTGGCATGGGACGGGAGATGATCCTCTAGAAACTACCCAGTCAAGGCCACTGACCACAGAGCTGGAACCCAGTCTGGAGGAGGTTGCCATGGTATCTGGATGCTTGGATTGTCTCAAAGTGTAGCAGGTGTTTTTGTATCATGGCCCTTGTGCTCCTAGAGACTAGTTTTAGCATGGCGGATGGAGGAAATAAAGGACCAGAGTTCAAAATCATCCTCAGCTACACAATGAGTTGGAAGCTTACCTGGGTTACACAAGACTCTATCTAAAAGAAAAAAAAAATTAAAAGCTGGAAAGTATACACTTGTGACCGTTTGAATCTGACAAAACATTTATATGCCAACTTTAATATGTGTGGAATGATGCCTAGTTTATTTATTTATTTATTTATTTATTTATTTATTTATTTATTTATTTTTGAGACAGGGTTTCTCTGTCTTGGATCTCACTCTGTAGACCACGTTGGCCTCGAACTCACAGAGACGTGCCTGGCTCTGCCTCCAGAGTGCTGGGATTAAAGGGATGCATGCACCACCACCATCCGGTGTGATGCCTAGTTTTAAAAATTATTTTAAGGAGTAGAGAAGAAACCCAAACTAAACAAAAACAAACAGAGAACCATCCAAACAAAAAGCTTAAGCAAAAGGTAGAAACAGACAAAACAAGTCTTCTTAGGGAAGGAGGGTCACAGAGAGAGACCCCAGGGATGGAAAGTGATGCTCTCAGTATGTGTGGGGGACCAGCCTCCACTTTTTCCAACCAGGGTACTCTTGAGCAGGGAGAAGTGAAGAATATTTAGATAGAAAAAGATACCTAGATGATGAAAGGAAAGATAGAAACACAGGATAGCCTCGTGAGGGCCTGGGTCAAAACCCACCCACCCAGAGCTTTAGTCAAAAGGGCTTTTTATACCAATGCCATGGGGCAAGGCAAAAAGACCTACAGCCAAGTATAGACCCTTCTGAACACCTGGTACCCAAGCCCATGGCTCAGTCATCCTCTTATGCAGTCCTGCTGGGTAAAGCCACTAGGAAAGATTAGTGGGCTCCAACAAGTATGGATTAGCTCTTCTAGGAATCCAGGACCCCTCAAACTCCAGCAAGCCAGGGCTAGTCTCCCCAGGGGCCTGCATCTTGGGTTAAGAAGACACTGAGTAGCCAGGTGGTGGTGGCGCACGCCTTTAATTCCAACACTTGGGAGGCAGAGGCAGGCAGATCTCTCTGAGTTTGAGGCCAGCCTGGACTACAGAGGGAGTTCCAGGAAAGGCACTAAAGCTACACAGAGAAACCCTGTCTTGAAAAAAAAAAAGAAAGAAAGAAAGAAAAAAAAAAGACACCGAGCATGAGAAGCAGGAGGCGGAGTCACGAACATGGCAGCCCTGGTCTGATGCTTGCCTCGACTCCCTCTGTCACCTGCTCCTGGACTTTCGGCTCCAGTGTCTAGCTGTGGACTGTCTAGGGCAGAGCTCAGTCCCTTTGCTCTGAGTGGAAGCCTCCATGGCTCTGGGGACTTGTGTCCTCTCAGGAGTTTGGCGGTCCTTGGGTTGTATGTCAGCCCCAGCCCTACCTCTGCAGCCTGCCGGTCAGGTCTTGGGATTTGTGTCCAGGGATTCCAAGTGAAACCACGTGGCAGTGCCTCTGTGAGCTCCCTGCCCACCATTCCCCTTGCTCTCCCAGGTCCTAGGACTCCTCCGGGGCTGTGGTTCACCAACGCCTTCTACATCACTACTCACACAGTGGGCACACTGAACATTTCTCTCTGTATCTTAGGGCACATTGCATATTTACCTTGAGCCTATTCCCTACAGCGTATCATATTCCTCTAATTGAAAGTCCCTTAATCACAAAGTCTGTGTTCCATTCATCATCTCTGTCCCTCCACCGTCTGGACAGTGCTCTCTCTGTCCACGGACAGTGCCTGTTAAATGCCGGAGGAATGAGAAATTGCATGACTCGAAGTCTACATGTAGGGTGACTTGTTTTGAAGACCCAGCTTGTTCTCTGGATCCATGTTGGATATTACTGTCAGTGCTCAAAGGTTGGATCCTGGGGCCTGGTGGACACAGTCCTGTGGTGGTATTTGCTGCACCCATGACCTTGGGCTATACGGCCCAAAGGAGGAGGTGCTTCCTGCCATTGTACTGGGTGGAGCAAATACTACTACATGTTCCCAGGGCAGACAGACTTTTCCCTAGGTATTTAGCATCCCTTACCCATTCTGCAACAAGGCTGCCTATAGATCCCCTTTTACACCCTGAAGACTTCATGACATGGGTCTCACTCAGGGTTAGGTGTGTCTCATGGCACCACTAATCTATGCATGGTCCCCAGGAACGACAGAAACACAGAATGACTGAGATTCACTGGGCATATGGCTGACTATTCTCTGGACGCAATACTAACCAGCTTGCTGGTGTCTGGTGCCACCTGGGGTCTTGGCTGAAAAGCCACCATGTCTCCGTCTCTCTCAGCCTCTCCGCAGCCAGGGTCGAGTGTCCCGCTAAGCAGTGAGAAGCCATCCCAGCTCTTGAGTGGACACAAGGATCAGAGTCGCCTCCCATTGGATGCTCCTTTGAAAAGCTGGCCGGCCAGGAATGGCTACCCCAGGAACCTCGGAGCTCTGCCCTTGGGGCCTCACCCGGTGGCAGCTATCCCCTCCCTGGAATCAGAGGCCAGCAGCGTGGCCCGAGACACCATCCAGATTAAGGACAAGCTCAAGAAGAGGCGGCTCTCGGAAGGCATGGCGGCGTCTTCTCAAGGTGAGCCATGACCCCGCCATCACCCGCCGCCACCCTGAGGTCAAGGACTCCAGGCCACCCGGGCTATGAGGATTAGCAGGTGTTCAGGCTCTTGGGTTGTCCACTGGGGCTGGCGAGTGGGCTTCTACTGATGGGGTGGGGTTTTGTGGGATGCATAGGAGGTGGGGAGAATAAACCATAACAGATGCTGGAAGAGGGGCACCCTCTTAGTCTAGGTTAGGAGTGTCACGCAGCTCTACCCCGCATCCGTAGCTGGAGAAGAAGTGGGGAGGGGGGAAGAAGTTGATTAACCCCTTTGTGTCTGCCTAGCACCAGGCTGGCATCTTGTGTCAGTACACAAAGTGGCTGGGATTCAGCAGGCCCCAGGGCTGACATTCCATGGAGTCCATTCCTTGAGTCTTAGCGGATGCATGATTACTTTCACGTCTCTGAACAGAAACACACAGAACAGAAACAACTGGAGGGAAGGAAGATTTATTTTGGTTCACAGCTTCAAGCCGTGGTGGGGAAGGCAGGTGGAGCGGCTCCGTTCACGGCAGTGTGTGTCTGAGGCCGCTCACAAACCAGGAAGCCGAGCCCAAGGCTGGACCCAGGGTCTGGGCTGTGACCTTCAAAGGCCTCTCCCGAGTGACCTACTTCCTCCCTCCTCCAGCTGGGCCTCCATGGTTGCTGCAAATAGCGCGGCCAGCTGGGGAGACAGTGCTCCAAACATGAGTCTGAGGAGGGACATGTTAGATCTGAAGTTAGGAACGTGCAGGGTCACACAGCTTCCAGCCAGGGCCAGCTGTCCCCTCTCTAAGCCCAGCACGGCTCTTGTCCTTCCACCCATTCCGACTTTGACCTTGGTTTGCATTTCTACCGAATTCTATGGAAATGAAGCGGACCCTCAAAAACCCGCTGCTTATCAGGTGTTTTGGTGGGTGTTGAGCATAGAGCTGGAGGGAGCCCTGCCCTCTCCCCTCGTCATCCCTCCTTCTCCCAAGACACAAGGCCTAGGTTGGCATGGCAGTCCCCCTCTGCTCCCCGTGATCCAGGTACTCACTAACTCGTTCCCCATCTTACCCTTGCTCAGATCCTGGGGGAGGCCCCAGAGGAGTTCCTCTGAGGAGCACCATCCCGCGTACCACCTCACAGAGGCTGCTGAGGGTGGCCAGGCCAATGCCTCCCATCCAGAGCATCCCCACCACCCCTGAGGCCAGCAGTGTCAAGGAGAAGGACCTGGACCCTCCTGGGGCCAGACAGCATCTCCAGGACTCGGGAACCAGTGCCCAGGAGGTAAAGAGACGCCACAGCTCTGGGGCTTTCCTGCGGTTACCCTATCTGTTTTTCTTTCCTTTACCAATGCTTGTGGCCCATGCTCTGCGCATCTCTGTAAGTGTCTCAGAACAGCCCTCTAGATCAGGATGGCATCGAGAGGGACTCCAGGTCCTCATTTCACACCTTTTCCCCATAGTATTCCAGACCTCCACAGCTGGCCTGGGAGTTTTGGGGGAGGGGTTGTCTGAAAGATACTGGGGCTACCAAACTGACCGCCCTGGAGTTGGTGGCCCCCAGGATTTCCCTGGTATTCATGTCTCTGGGATTTGCCTGGTTTTCTGGTCATCTCTTGTTTAATGCCAATAAAATCTCTTCCTGGTCCAATTTATAAAAGCAGAGCTTTGAATTGGGTGTTTTAGAGGGTCCCTACCAGCTCTGATGGTCAAAGATTCTTCTGAAATGAGAAGATTAAAAAAAAATCCACAGCGGGGCGGTGGTGGCACATGCCTTTAATCCCAACACTCGGGAGGCAGAGGCAGGCGGATCTCTGTGAGTTCGAGGCCAGCCTGGGCTGCAGAGTGAGTTCCAGGAAAGGCTCCAAAGTTACACAGAGAAACCCTGTTTCAAAAACAAGACAAAAAAAAATATCCACATGTTAATAAAAACAACAGAAGAGCTTGTCAGTTCTTCCGGAAGGGTTGGGGTGAGGCTAAGAGACTGAAAAGGGAAGCTAAAGGCATTTCCCAGCATCCTTCCCCAGCGGGCTTCAGGCGGGAGACACTCTGTGTGAGGTTACTATGCGCTGAACATACGGTGAATCATGCTTCCGAGGCCCAGGCTCCCTTCCCCTCCCAGGTACAGATTTCCAGGCAGTACCTGCATTGTAATGATGAGAAGATGCACAAGTCTCTAGGAGGCATCGTGATCCCGCCCATTCCGAAGGCCCGGCTGCCCACGGGGACCTCTTCCTGCAGGCCTGACTCCCTGCCCAGCCCCTTGGGTCCAGGCCAGGATGTGCTAACCGGACCAAGGGCCCTGCAGACTCGGTAAGGGGCCAACTTCAAATCTCATGTCTGTTTGTAGTCATCTCTCCTGTAGCTTGTGTACCCCCCTTCACCCCCAAATTCCCTTGGGCTCCTCATTGCTGAGTCACCATGGCAGATACAGCTGGGAGGTACCAGGTTTGGAAAGGATGCCCCACCCATGAACCCCAGACCTGGGGAGGCCATAGCGCTGATGTTGGAGCTTCTCTGGTCCATGAAGGCATACTTGACAAGCGAAGTGGGCGTCCTGTTCTCTAGTTTCTTAATGTCTATGGTTGCCATAGTGATGGAGGAAATACAAATTGTCTTAGGGCATGATCAAGTTCATGGTGGGTCTCTATTATTACGTATTTTCTTAACTGATATACTAAAACCATCACCATTGTTGTGTATATGAATGTGCTCATGTGTGGGCATGTTGGTGTATGCATATGTGTGAGTGTATGGGTTTTCCGTAAAACTTTTGGATTTAAAAAGAGGTTGCCACACCCAGAAACAGTTCAGGCAGAGGCTCTGAGTTATTATGAATCTTTTTGTAAAGAAAACAGGCAGGCAGAGCCTTCTAAATGGCTCTCAACATCTAGTGGCCAGCCCAGACATGTCAGAGTGGCTGAGTAAGAATTCATATGCACATGTCTGTGATCACGTTTGTGTGTCTGTGTATGTGTGTGTGTGTGTATGAGTATGTATACATACATGTGAGTATATGTGTCTCTGAATGTATGTGAGTGTGAGTGTATGCTCACCGGGCATGAGTTTGGCTCTCCTAGTATGGTGTATTAGTCTCTTTTTCTGTCGCTATCATAAAATACCACAGGACCAAGGCAAGTTATAGAAGAAAGAGTTTATTTAGACCTACAATTGCAGAGGAGTCCATTATGGCGGGGAAGCGTCGGGCATGGTGGTACAAAATGCTGAGAGCTCACGTCTTGAGCATCAAGCAGGAAGCAGAGTGAGACCATTGGGAATAATAGCACAAAGCTTTTGAAACCCCAGAGCCTGCCCCCAAGTGACGTAGCTCCCCCAGCAAGGCCTCACCTCCTAAACCTATCCAAACATCGCCACCCGCTCTGGACCAAGTTTCCGAATGCCAAGACTATGGGGGACGCTTCTCACTTAAACCACTACACAGAGTGGTCACCCCCCCCCCTCCTTCCACACTTCTTTGGCCTGATGTCCCAAAGTCGCCCATTTCTCCCTGGCATCCTCGATCTCCTGTCTCCTGAACTGCCTACTCCTCTGTACACATCCACGTGCCCTTTGTGCCCACCCACGTGCTCCAGCCTCTGTGGGGTGTGGGAACGTGTCCATGCACCTGCTCCTGGGTGGGAGCTCTCTTCCATTCTCGCTTTCACGTGAGGTTCACCTGCTCCTCCAGACTGGCCTTCCTTATGGTCGAACATTCCTCCTCGTGCCCAGATTCCTCTCCTCTCTGCAGCATTAATGGTAGAGTCCTTGCTCTGCCCAAGGCCTTTCCTCCCAAATCGTGACTTGACTTTCTTGTATCTCTTTGTTTGTTTGTTTGTTTGTTTTTTGAGACAGGGTTTCTCTGTGTAGCTTTGGAGCCTGTCCTGGATCTCGCTCTGTAGACCAGGCTAGCCTCGAACTCACAGAGATCTGCCTGCCTCTGCCTCCTGAGTGCTGGGATTAAAGGCGCGTGCCACCGCCGCCTGGCACGTTCTCGTATCTTTTGGACTGTGGCCAGCCCTCAGATGTTTCTTCTTCCTCTCCTCTCTGGTTTTACACCCGTGACTTCCAGGCAGTCTCTTACATGTTCCCTTTCATCTGTCACTTAAATTTACCCATCCTCAAAATTTCTGGTTTTCTTCTGGCGTCTTTACCTGTGCCCATGTCCTCCAGGCTCAGGGGGCTCTGGGTGGGCTTTGCCATGGCCTGGCCTCTCCCTGGAGACCCACGCTCTCACTGGGAACCTCTGACAAATGCTGGTCAGCCTTAGAGGAAGTTGGGGGGGGGGGAGAGAGAAAGGGAATGCATATTACTATGGCAACATGAGGCACCTTGTGCTTCTCCAAATTGCCCTTCCACGGTGGAGCTGCCCTTAGCATGCACCTTCAGCAGGTCTGGCTCCGGTCCCTCACAGGCTGCCCCTCCCCACGCATTCCTTGCAACAACAGAATTCCCAGAAGCTCCCACCTGGTTCTTGTCCCTGTCATTCCCTCCCGCTTTGCACTTAGAGCTGCTTAGTAGCTTCACCCCCAAGGTCCCGATCTGCCATCTCCAGCCCCCCCTCCCGTTTTCAGTCCCCACGGAGCCCTTCTATGACCTTCTCCGGCTTGGTTTGACCTCGTCCTCCTCCTGTGCTGTACCTAGGGTCCGTCTCACGCCTCTGTGGGTGTGCCGATTCCCGAGCCTCCCTTCCGATGACGTGGCACTTTTCTGTCCTGCACAGCAGCACTGTCCTCCACCCCTGCCTCACCTGGCTGGCAAGGACAGGAAGTGGCCCCCTCGGCTTTGTCCGCACGCACGCCACAGACTGCCTGTCCACCCCCACCCACCTCCCTTCCACTGTTTCATTGATTGAACTAACAAATCTTGGCTAATTAAATTGATTTTTGTGTCTCCTTATGTTGGTTCATCTTATTTATTTTGTCTGGTTTAAACCTCATCCTATTCTTTAACTTGGCACTTGATAGGACGAGGGCCGTATCTCAAAAAGCTGTGATGCATTAGTCACACAGAGAACACCTGTCTTCTGCTGTCTGTAGCAAGAATCTTAAAAGTTCTTATTAATAAAATCAAACCCGAGGCGAGTTATTGGGGTCCATGCTGGTAGATCAGAGAGACAGAACAAGCCACAGCTATCTCACCTCCCCGGATCCTCAGCTGGTCTTGTCTCCTCAGACTGGAGGCCTCTGAGTCCTCATCCGGAATGGGTCTCAGCTGAATTACTGCTCAAAAGCCTGAATGCTTAGCCAGCCAAAATCTTCTAGTTTCTGGTCCTCACGCCTTATATATCTTTCTGCTTTCTACCACCACTCCCTGGGATTAAAGGCTGGCTTTCTGGGATTAAAGGTGTGTGTCACCATGCTTGGCTATTTCCAATGTGGCCTTGAACTCACAGAGATCCAGAGGGATTTCTATCTCTGGAATGCTAGGATTAAAGGTGTGAGTGCCACCATTTTCTAGCCTTTGTATCTAGTGGCTGTCTGCTCTCTGACCCCCAGATAAATTTATTAGAGTACACAATATTTTGGGGAACACAATACCACCACAGCTGTCCATCTGTAATTCTGTAAGGCTGCCCAGCAAATGGATGGGAAATTCATTCTATTGCCACTTTATCCATCCATTCATTCATTCATTCATTCATTCACCCACCTAATCATTTATTTACTTAAAAACTATTAAGTGCCTACTATCTACAAGGTGCTTTGGAAACCAGGGTGAATAAGTCTTTGGGGGATAAGAGAGACCTGGGTGCAAATCACTGAGTCCAAGTCCAATGAGACTGGAGATGAGGCAGAAGGCTGCCTGTTTTGTTGGGAGGCTCAATAGAAAAGCGTCTCAATCCAGCTGGGGTGATTTCCTGAGGAAATTTTGAAGGAGAGGCAGTGTAAAAAGGAGGAGAAAGATACACACAGAGGAATGACAGGCGTTTAGGAAGCTACAAAGAGTCTGCTTGTGAGGTAGGCTCTGCCTGTCTGAGGGGCCTATGAGTGAGTGCCCTCCCGAGGGGTGTAACCCCTCTCTTGAAGCAGCTAGGTGTCATCAAAGGTCCCCAGGTGGGGGGATTAGACAAGCTCTGACTTCCGAAGGCCACTGTGGGGCAGGGGAGATGGCTTGGCAGGTAAAGCGTGTACAGTAGAACCATGAGAGCTGGATCTCTAGAACCCCATGCAATCCGGTGGCCATCACGGCCCATCCTATGACCCCCCTCCCATATGTGAGAGGTGGAGACGGGTTCCTCAGAGCAAGCTGGGTAGCCACCCCAGCTGGAGCAGTGAATTCTGGGTTCAGGGAGAGACCCTGCCTCAAAACGTAAGGTGGAGGGAGGTGGAGGGAGGTGGAGGGAGGTGGAGGGAGACACCCCGCATCAGCCTCCGGAGACACGTGCGCACACACACACACACACACTTGCACACGCACCATTCCATGCATGCACCTCCACAACGAAACACCGATACAAACAGGCCTGTGCAGCATGTACATACATCTTTAAAAAGTGTGGTGAGCAGTGAGGGGAAGGAGAGGCGGCCTAGGAGCTAAAACACTTGCCGTGAAGCACAGGCCAAGGCAGGGCCTGTGGCAGGAGCTGAGGGAGAAGTCCAAGGTCCTCCATCTGGGTAGAGTCAGACATGGGTCTAGGGTTTGTTTGTTTGTTTGTTTGTTTTGGTTTTTTGAGACAGGGTTTCTTTGTGTAGCTTTGGAGCCTGTCCTGTAACTCACTCTGTACACCAGGCTGGCCTCGAACTCACAGAGATCCTCCTGCCTCTGCCTCCCGAGTGCTGGGATTAAAGGCGTGCGCCACCACCGCCCGGCGACGTGGTTCTAGTTTAAGACAGCAGTTTCCATGTGGATGCTGTTACCTAGGAAACATGATTGCACAGCCAGAGAACCGCCTAGCACTGTGCCTCGACTCCGACTCCGGGCCTGGCCTGGTGGATAACCAACCAACCTAGTCTTTGTGTAAGGAGCGCCATCTCTGGCAGGAAAACCAAAGCCATTTCTGTTCATCTCACTGTCTCCCCACCTTGGAGCAACCCCAGGCTTCTCGCCCCGGTGTCTCTGACTAACCAGATCTCATACAGTCCTTTTCTCTCTCTCTCTTCCTTTAAGATTGACTTGCGAGAATGGGCCTCTGGAGAAGACCCCCACATCTCTGGGTACGTATTCCCGTGATCACTCACCCTGTTTCTGCTTCTTGGCCATCCATGGACTGGGTTATGGAATTAGGCCAGGGGAGACCTGAGGGCCCCTCATTTCACAGATGGATGGGGAGGATGTCACCACACCATAGAGCGGTGCCAAGCCTGTGCCAGCGACTAGGAAGGCTGGAATAGTACTTAATGGCATCCACTCTACTCGGCACCAGGATGCACACCAATTCATGTAGCTCATGACAGTCCAGACGAGGGAGATGCGCTGTTCCTTTTTGACGAACCAGGTGAACCAGGCTGAGTAGTTTGATCCAGGCCACCTTGAGGCTCATAGTACTGCTCTCAGAGTCTGGAAGACGACCCTGTCAGAAGTGCATTGGGGTTGCACCAGAGCAGACTGGACCTGAGACACCAAGCAGAGGCCTCTTGCTCTGTGCTAAGCGTAGAGAGATGTCCTCGCTGGACAGAGCGAGATGTTAAACCACCTCCCGCAAACCTCATACAGTTGCTCTCAGCAGATTCAAAGGTCAGGGGAGCCGGGCCAACCTGAGGGTGGATGTGGGGGAGGGAAAAAAGAGGGGAATGAACATTGAAGGTCATCCCTTTGGGGTTGATGGTCTGCCCTGGAGAGGGCATGGGGGTGGAGCAAAGCTTTGCTGTGGTGGAGAATGATTAGGGGTTAGGAAAAGAGGCCACAGCCTATGAGGGGCACTCTGAGCTCAGGCTGCTGTGCTGACTGGTGGAAGGTTGAGCAACTTCCTGGCAGGTCCCTGACTAATCAGCTCAGCATGGCGAAGCAGCTGGCAGGGTGACAGGCTGTTGTCCAGGACGCTCTGGGACAGGACACCGAGCTGGGCCTGAGAGGCAGGCCTAGCGGGGGACACTTCAAAGGCAGATGCTTCTCCTGTGTCCCGGGCTCAGTTGTGGGATGTGCCTGAGGGGATGCACATGGCACCCTGTATGTTTTGATGAGCTAGCTCTCAGATGGCTGGCATGGGTGTTTGGGCCAGGAGACCATGTCACCAGGTGTCTATAAACGGGGACAGCCTGTCAGACAAGACTTTCTAGGTGTCCCTTTGGGGTGTAGGTGAGAAATTGGGTATGTATAAGATCTTAGAGCACAGTTTGTCTCTGGCTGTCAGCTGGGGGGCAGGGCATTGCCAGTAGCATACCAATAAGGGCTGCCATGGTGTCTCACATCGTGTGGCGTTCTCACAGACCTTGTCCTGAGCAGTGGGCCCCTGAACATCTGCGTCTTCTTAGCTCTTCTCCACCCTGCCACAAGCAGAGGGACCCTTCATGAAGACACGGGTGACGCAGAGGAACTGTGACTAAAGAGCTGTGTAGAAGCACAGACACAAAATGCCCTTTCCAGTCCTGAGCATCCTCAGGTGGCAGCCCCAGTTCCAGTGAACCCCTGGTTAGCTGCCTCTCTCAAGGTGATGGACGACTAGATTTAGGGGCAGGAGAAAATCGGGGAATCCATCTCTATCTGTCTACTTAAAAAAAAAAAAACTTTAAATCCATTGATTGGGAAAATATAGAGTGATGATGAGATAGCTATGGAATTGATATTCGGAAATGAAGGTTGCTGGGCCTCAGTTTTCCCATCTGTGGAGGGAGAATGGTGGTCTAGTTTTCAAAAATTCTCTGGCCCCTTCCAGTTCTGCTGGAGTGGTATAAAATGATTGACAGGTGTGTTTTATTTGACTCTGTTTCCGACCCTCTCCCCTTCTTAGAATAAAACATTCAGTGCTTGCTTTCTGAATGAATGAATGAATGAATGAATGAATGAATGAATGAAGAATGGCATGTCCTTGACATCCCTGGCAATGCTTACTCTGGAGAATAAACTTAACTTCCCGACCAGGGAAATGTGGGCCAGAAGGACCGAGGACCGAGAGCTTGCATAGGCAAGTCCATCAGCCACAGGGTCAGGGACCCATTGACGGCCCATGGTGCCACTGCCCTCAGCTCTGTCCCTGCTCTTGACTTCTCAGAGCCAAAGCCTTTGGTCCCAGCTGTCAAAGCCAAGTCTGCCGAAGGCCCCCCAAAGTCCCTGGCTTCGTCACAGCCTGCCTCCAGCCATGCCAAAGAAGCCCACTCCCTGGTGACCGAAGAAGACCAGAAGGAGTCCAGCGCCAAGGTACCGGGCGAGAGACAGGAGGAAGAAGCTGAGGTCCAGCTGGCTGGATGCAAGCCTGCTTTAAACTCTGCGGTGTGGGGCCAGCCGGTGGGGATGAGGCCGAGCCAAGGATGGCCAAAGTGGTTTCCCCAAGCCCTGAAGGCCAGACCCTTAAGTGTGGACAGTTTGGGGACGAGGGCTGTCAAGAGAAAGGGAGAGGGAGCTGAGGATGGGGGTGGGGCCTGGGAACAGGGAAGAATGCAGATGGAGGAAGAGGAGGAAGGACAGGAGAAGGTCGCACGTGGGCCGAAAGGGAGCGGGATGCCGGGAAGAGGACAGGAGGCTTAGATGAACCAGGCTGAGTAATTTGAACTGACCCCCAAGATAGCAGCCGAGAGGCAGCTGACTCAGAGGCTTGCGGGCCAAAGCTGCACTTGACAGGCTGACAAATACCTCGCGCTTGGAAGGTGACCTTCGTGGGGGGAGGTGGCTTGGCTTCCCTGATTGAGATGGATTTAGTCAAACTTACGGAGTCATTGCTGTGGGAGCCTCGGGTTTGTCCTTCAAAAATAGCTATGGCAGATCGGCTCTGAAACAGACATGAAAGGCCTGCCCTGAGCGTGTGCTGTTACAGAGATACCTTGCCGACAACAGGAGGGCCAGGCTCCACTCCAGTGAGGGTGGCCGTGAAAATCCTACGTGTGACCTGACTTTATTCTCCAGCCCGCCTCAGCCACTTACTGCAGTCATTCCATAGGCCAGAACATTACAGGCTGTTTTGTCTCCGCCATATTATCCCAACTCCAAGGTCCCACTTGCCCACCACCATCTCCTGTTCTGGCTCCATCTTTAGCCTTTGGCTGCTTCCTTGCATCAGTGACGTTCTCCCTGAGTCCAGATCACTCCCCCCCCCCCCCCCCCCCTCACTTCCCCATCGCCCCACCGAGGTTCCAAGGGCCATATCTCAACCCTCTTCTGCCTGGTACCCGCTTTTGGCTCAGCTTGTGACATGTCCCTCTTCAGTTTTCCACCTAGAGACAGAGCTGAGCAACGAGGTGTTCCTGGCACTCATGATAGACAGCGCATCTCCCTCCTTAGTTCATTCCTCCATCTTCCTGACCTGTAGATACCGAGGAGGACCCCGGGACTCAGTCCTTTGGTCTCTGGGGCTGTTTAATTATCTCAGAATGTGTGCTCTAGTCCATGGTACCATGTGTCTAAGGTACAGCAGGCTAAAGACTGCCCAAGTCTTTACCGCCTCCCCTTACCTCCAGCATCGCAACTTAAATATCTAATTAGGATCTGAACCTACCATGCCTACTTTTGAATCCTTACCTCGCAGGGTCTCCACCCAGTGAATGGCAATTCCCAGCTGCTCAGGCCCCAAACCCCAGGTCCACTCCTGGCTTCTCCTCCTCCCTCACCCTATATTCTGTATATCAGCAGAACGAACTCTACTTGCAAACAGCTTTTGTGCTCCAGTGTTCCCATGCTCTCCCCTTACCGTGGGCCTCCCCAATTCCCCCTCTTGTGTGGATGTCCCGTTATTCCCTAACGGTTTCCCATGCTCTCGAGTCTTCCCGTGCAGGAGTCAGCCTGATCCGTGGGAAACAGAAGTCATAATGTTTCATGGTGGTTGGTATCATCCTTGGGGGAGGCTGGATGAAGGACACATGGGGCTTTTCATCCCATTTTTATACTTTCTCCTCCTCCCTTTTATTTATTTATTTATCTATCTATCTATCTATCTATCTATCTATCTATCTATCTATCTATCTATCTATTTATTTATTTATTTATTTATTTATTTATTTATTTATTTATCGAGACAGGGTCTCACTACGTAGCCATGGCTGTCCTAGAACTCACTCTGTAGCCCAGGCTGGCCTCGAACTCAGAGATCCACCTGCCGCTGCCTCCCGAGTGCTGGGATTAAAGGCGTGCATCACTACACCTGGCTCCATTTTTACAACTTCTTAAGAGTATCACGCTCTTTAAAGATAAAATGTTATGAAAATACAACCTTTGGAGAAACCGCTTTCCTCAAATGGAAGTTGGGTCCTGTCCTGCCTCTGCTTGACTTTAAATGATCTCTGACGTCTTTCTGAGGGGAAACCTGAGCCCTTGGCATGGGCCCTAAAAATCAGCCATCCTGCCACTCCCTGGCCTGCTTTAACTCAAGCTGCGCCCTCTTAGGCTAGGCACACCCCAACCTCAGGGGCTCTGCTAAAACATTTCTCTCCTCAAAACTGCGTGGCCTGCCTTCTCTCTCCCTTTTTGTCTCCACTTAAACTTCACCCTGAAGGGAGTCGCCGGTCTACGGGTTCAAAGCCGCCATCTCTGCTGCTGTACTTTCCTTCTAGCGCACCCCCTATGACATTACGGACGCATTGACGGTTGTCTGTGCCCCACCTCTTCCAGGAAGCTCCTAGGGGACCGGGACTTAACTCTGGAACAGTGGACGGCACGTCTTCTGTGTCGTGACTGACTGACTGACTGACTGACTGAATGAATGAATGAATGAATGAATGAATGTAGAATGTAGAAAGACTGGTTGTGTCCCCCGGGTTAACGGACCTCTCCTTGACCGTGCCCCAGGTCCAGTTCACCATTTCCAAGTCTGCCCAGGAAAAGATGCGCCAGAAACAGATGCGAGAGATGGAGCTGCTTCGGAGGGCACAGGAGCCAGAGCGCGAGCCGGAGCTGGCTTCCCAGGGCCTGGGCGCGTGGAGAGCCTCAGCCAAGGAAGGTCTGGTGCACCGGGTGTGAGTGCTGGTGCGCCGGGTGTGAGTGCTGGTGCACCGGGTGTGAGTGCTGGTGCACTGGGTGTGAGTGCTGGTGCACTGGCTGTGAGTGCTGATGTACTGGGTGTGAGTGCTGGTGCACTGGGTGTGAGTATTGATGTACCGGGTGTGAGTGCTGGTGCACCGGGTGTGAGTGCTGGTGTACTGGGTGTGAGTGCTGGTGCACTGGGTGTGAGTGCTGGTGTACCGGGTGTGAGTGCTGGTGCACTGGGTGGGTGTCTCCACTGGGGAAGCCTCCTGGAGAACTCCTGGGCTCTCACCCATCCAAAGAGGGGCTCCCCACAGCTCCTTCCTTCCCCATCCCGAGACAGGACAAGGAGTCATGTCCACTCCCCGTCACCTGCTGATGATGCTCACGTATCCACGGAAACTTGATGCCGGTGAGGTGGAGGACCTGCTTAGTCTAGGATTTTTTTTCCCCCACAGGCCTCCTTCCTTTGCGGGGCAGCGGAACCCTGTCTGTGCCCACTGGGCTGAGCAGCCCACGCAGAAATAACGTCGGAGCCCTCCTGAGGAAGCGGGCCAACCGAGCCTCCCTGCCCAGCATTCCTGTCAGCAAGCAAGAGCCTAGCTTTGCCCGCCATGCGTCAGGTGGGTCTTGACCTCTACTCCGGCCGTCGCTGGGTGCTCTGGAGTGTGGTCAGGGGGGCCTTGGCTACCTGCCTCTGTCACGTCGCCCATGCTCATCTCACTAAGAGAGACAATGTCTGGGACCCATAATTGTCCATGGGCCGGGCTCGGGGGACCCAAGATGGCCCACCTAGTGAGTAGATGGCGAGGCAGTTCTGCCAGCCTCATGTGACATGTCTTAGGGAAGTCATCAGTATATGAGGGCCAAAGATGCTGGCAAGGAACAATCCCCAGGGGACTCTGGGAAGAGCTTGGAGGCCTGCCTGTGACTTCATGCTGTTGGGAATGGATGGGGCTGGCTAGGACCAAGGAATCTGTAGATCTTACAAGGACATCTCCGGGAAGGTGCCAAGGAACCGGGGAAGCTCTGTCCTACTTTCAAAGGAGCCTCGCTTTTTTTTTTTTTTTTTTAAAGTAAAGGTTGAAATTAATCATTCTGATTCAGATTTCCTTTTTTCTGGCATGTGGCAGATAATGATGGCCGGCTATATGATACTATAAATATTTTTGACTCACTTTCCTTTATTTTATCTTTTCAATTGTGTCAAATAGCAAGCCTCAAGTTGGGGGTCCTTTTGAGTATCTATCATTTTACTGTTATCACTTCTGTGATGGGTCTTGCTATATGACCCTTGATCTTTGTACCCCGGCCTCTCGGGGGCTAGGGTCACAGGTGTGTACACTAGGCTGGCCTTTGTCTTTGCTTTTGGTGTTTGTTGTAACAAAGGGACCCATGCTTAGGTTCAGAGGCTTCAGAGGCTGACATTTCACAGCTAGGTGTTTAGAGATTATTCCACTTCATAGTCTATCACAAGCAATACTAGTTTACTTACAATGATTGTGACCTAAAATTCCCTTTAAAATAAACTTATTTAGGATCTAGAAAGAGGCTTGATTTGAAGGAAAGTGTAAAGAGGTGAAAATTATAGGTAATTAGGAGGTAAGATAGGTTAGAGCTTTAAGCCTAGTCATGCAGCACTTGACTAGCAATGCCTGGCTTTATCTCCCTGTCTCTTCCTGTCTCTCTCTGTCTGTCTATCTGTCTCTCTCTCTTTCTCATGAGAGAGGGAGAGGATGTATTGGGATTGACAGATAACTGTCAACGGCCATGACTGGTGAGGAGGCACCTGGGACCTGGGTTGTGTATGTGAGAGAATGAATCACGGACGCGATCTGTCTAACCCACCCGTCACTTTGTAGACAGCGGAGTAGAGAGCCCGAGACTCAGGTCACCCACAGTGATGGTGGGTCATCAGCCTAAGCCTTTGGCTGCCGGGTCTTGACCCAGTATGGCCTGTCTCATTATTGAAGCTACGCATGCTGGTGAGCGGATGGGCTGACTTAGGAACGGGCAACGTCTTTGACCTCCCTGGAAGCCGAGTCCGAATCCTCGTCCTTTCCCCTCCCTGGATGGTCATGGGAACGTCACTCAAGCAGCTTTATCAGTTACGCCTGTGCTTAGTTGTTGGCCTGTATGAAAATGATGGAATTTCAGGACTGGAAACTTGGTTGTCTTCAAGTGCTCAATGAACTTCATGAGATTCCGGCCTGTCTTAGGATAGACTGGGTGCCTGCATTTCTTCAATTCTTCCTGCGTGCGTGCGTGCGTGCGTGCGTGCGTGCGTGCGTGCGTGCGTGCGTGCGTGTGTGTGTGTGTGTGTGTGTGTGTGTGTGGTGTGCAGGGGATGGAAATTCCTCGGCCACTTGTGGGAAGGCATACTCATGAACATTGTAGAGAAGCTGGGAGGAGATGGGGAGGCTAAGGCAAAGTCAACACAAACCCCAGAGGCTAGAAGCTGGAGTGACCCCTGCAGGGCCTGGTGGGTCTGAATGTGTTTCTCTGTGCAAGAATGTGCCTTAAACCTAGGTGGGGCTTAAGTGGTGTTGCAGGATGCTGTGGAGGTGGGGTGGGTAGCAGGAGGCTGGCTACCGCTCGAGGGCTAGTGCTGCTGCAGGACTGTGTCACCAGATATCCAGGAGGCTGAGGTGAAGGTTCAAGGCCAGGCTGGGCCATTTAGGGAGACCTTGTCTAGATACAAAAAGTAAAGAGGGAGCTGTTGATATAGTTCAGTGTTATAGTTCTTGCCTGGCATGTTGGGAAGTTATATGTTCAATCTCCATCCACACACATGCACATACACACATGCTCACACCTATACACTCACACATATGCTCACACACACACATACACACACACACACTTTTTCACACATACACATGCCCACATACATGTACACACACACACACACACACACACACACACACACACACACACACACACTCACAAATGCACCCAGATCCAGGATCTCCTGGGTGTACTATAGTGAAAGTCATTCTGTGGGAGAGGAACCAAGGAACCCTCATGGCAGAACTAGCAGGGAAGGGGGACGTGGTGGAGAGATCTCAGGGCTGGCTCCATGATGGAGGAGCTGAGGGCCTGTGCTGTGTCTCTGCAGTTCCTTCCGGTTCTTCTAGGATTCTGTGATTCTAGCATCTGTTCATAAGAAAGAAGACATGTTCTGTCCTTTGTCTCTGTGTTTCTCTCTGTGTGTCTGTCTGTCTCTGTCTCTATCTTTCTCTTTCTCTGTATGTGTGTGTCTGTCTTGATTGAACCAAGAACCTCACAAATGCTAGGCTGGCATCGTATACCCCAGCCATTCTTGCCCCCTTCTCTGTCTGCCCTTGAAAGTGTGGCCACACCTTGACCCTGCGGGTGACAACCTCCTCCAGTCTTTTCCTTCAGCTGCCCGCTGGAGTGCTTCCCTGCTCAGGCGCTCTCTCTCTCTCTCTCTCTCTCTCTCTCTCTCTCTCTCTCTCTCTCTCTCTCTC